GACCAAAAGACTTGATACTAACATCTGCCTCACTAAGCACTCACCATTAAGAGGTGAGTGTTATGACTGGTCAGCCTGATGTTAGAATAATGTAACTGGCTGGGACATCATGCTACATGTCTGCAGCATGATGCCCAAGTGCTAGACATCACTATAAATTGTTACACTGCAGATATTGTAGCGATATGACTGAAAATTTTTTAAAGCTACGTTAAAAATCCAAATATTCTCTCTCTCTCTCTCTCTCTCTCTCTCTCTCTCTCTCTCTCTCTCTCTCTCTCTCTCTCTCTCTCTCTCTCTCACACACACACACACACACACACACACACACACACACACGACTGTCAGTAAAGTAGTTCCAAACCAATCCAGAAGAGAGCATTATAAATCTTAACAACACACAAAGTTGGCTCCATTTCAAAAGTCAAGGTCGCGATTTCAAGGGCAATGAAGCTTCACATTCGCTGCTAAAAATATCCGTGAACGATATTTGCAACACGAATTATCTCTGAACTTCATTTATGACCGAATTTATAACAATGCATGAAAACAAATAATAAAACGTTTATTACTTTAAGCAAAATAAAATTATCGATTCATAAATCCTTATAAACGGCACTATTTATAATATTTTTTGTATAAAACATTTAGAACTAAACAGCTTAAATTCAAAATCAAAAAGATTAGGATTTTTGTGACAAGAGCAGGGGATGTAGCTCTTGTGACCTTCAACTAAAGGTAGGTAACTCTTACACGACTGTTGATCTTTTTTTTTCTATAATCATTATACATCACCATCAGCCATCATTTTTGTCTACAAAGTATATAGGCAACTGTAAATTGCATTATAGTAAAATGAAGTACTGGGTTCTTCTGTTTCGTTATTCAAGGACTCTGACATGCTTTTGCCGATAATAATATGTGCAGACGAAATTTCGTTTACCTGATGTAAACCGATGGCTTGTTAGCCATCAAGTGATGAAAACGATTACAGTCTGCGCGTCTCAGATTATAACGAAAAAGCGGCTGTGTCCTAGAATAAAAGAACAAAACTTTTATTAATGAAAGTAAATTTCAGGCTACACATAGATGGCGTATGATATTTCTACAAAGGAGGTTGGGTTTTTAGTGGAGGATCATGATATTTTTGAGAACATGGCAGCTATTAAAGGTTAAACGACCATTTTGAAATTGAATACTTGATATACATTTAACTCGATGAACATCTAACTGGCATTCTACACATATGAATACAACAGACAAGCAAATGTAACATTTGAATATCAGCTGAATTCATTATGCACACTTTCATATGTTTAATTTGTATTGGACTTATTAAACAAAGCGACCTTCCAAGACCATGGCATTTCGTCACCACCCCCACTTGTTCGCAAATGAAATGATCAATTCTTGTCAAAGAACAATTTTCTGTTCAGCTTCAGAATGGTTGGATGTTATAAACAGGTATTAGAGCATAGAAATATATTATTTGTCATAACGTAGGTTACCTTGACCTTTGACCTTTAATAAATCCGGGAAAAGCACTTTAAACTTAAGCTTAACAATAATTTATGTACACTTTAAGTTAAAACCTTTCTAATGATACATATTGTCCTTTGCTCAACCTTTGATACTTATATAGCATCGAGACTGTGATGAAGGAGTATATATTCATTTACCGTAAAATTTTGTGATTCCTGCTAAAAATGGAATTATCTGCAGCCACTCGTTGGCAATGGTGTTAGGTTACAGTACAGGCTCATGCAACAAAGAAGCTCTTACAATGATAGGATTATGCGGTGTTAGGTCTAACATAAATCAATGAGGGCATGTTTTCCTTAAGAGTCAAACATTCAATGACTAATTGTTATGAAATGTGAAGCTCTCTTAGTGTGTGTGTGTGTGTGTGTGTGTATATATATATATATATATATATATATATATATATATATATATATATATATATATATATATATATATATATATATATATACATACATACATACATACATACATACATACATACATACATACATACATACATACATACATACATACATATACGACCCAGGGGGTACTAGTCAAACAAATGATAACTTACAAATCCATGATAAATGAACAAAACTCAAACATGATTATAGATAATATGCGGAGATATGAATGCTTACAATGACTTGTGGGGAGGAGTTGTTAGACATAAAAGAGAAAAAAAATATTTAAAAAATAGGCCACCTTAAATAACTTAGTCATACTAAATGGGGAGGGTGAAATCTTTATGCGGGAAATGGAACATTATCGTCCATTAATTTACCAATTTCTTCACCAAAAAATAGCAGAATTAACCGAATGGAAAGTTGATAAAACCAGAAAACTTGGGAGTGACCATTTCTTTGCTATAATTCCTATCAATATGGCAAATCCAAATAAGATAAGATAAAATAAGAATTCTTTATTTCAGACTGCATAGTCCATACATCTAAATTAAAATACTGATCTAGAGTAACACATTGTAAACATAAACGAACATATATACATATATATACATACATACAAATATATATATATATATATATGTGTATATATATATATATATGTATATATATATGTATATATATATGTATATATATATATATATATATATATATATATATATATATATATATATATATATATATATATATATATATATATACCCATAAACATATACATACATATACATATACATATATATACATATACACACACAAACATATACACATACACACATACATACATATATATACACATACATACACACATACACATACATACATATATACATACACATATACATATATATATATATATATATATATACACATACACATACATACATACATATACACTAAAACATATATACATATCATATGTACAAGTATTCAGATACATTTACAACAATTATTTGCGCCATGCATTGTTAAAAAATGAAATTGAAGTGACACATTTAAATAATAATTGGTTCCATCTACTAACAATGTGAGAATTTAAATTAATGTCATATTTCCAAAGTGATTTCAATATACAGTTCTCACTATTAGAAAGTCTTGTTATCATTGAATATACATACTTTCTCATTACTTCCTCAAAACTTAATACATTATAATTAACATTCATGTTGGAGGCACTGTTCCATCTAGGAAGACCTGATAGAAAGCGAAGACTATTTTTATAACCAATTACTAGTTTTCTTTTCACATTTTCACTAAAGTTTGTCCACAGTGGAGCACAATACATAGTGCAGCAATAAGATTTGAATAATCTAATTTTGATACTCAATGAACAAGGCTTAAATTTGCGTAGCAGCATGTTTGTTCGAGTACACAAATATCGATAATGTCTCATCATATCTTCATTATCTGACTGATTGGATTTCAAAATATGGCCCAAATACACATAACTGTCGACATACGTAAGAGCGTTGCCGTTAAGATGTACAGAGGGAGGTGATGATAATTTAAAAGAAGTTGGCTGAAAGACCATGCATACAGATTTTTGTGTATTATAGATGATATCATTCTCTAATGCATATTGTTCACATATCTTCAATAATTTTCTTAAAAGTCCTAACACTAACTTCTTAATGCTGAGCGCTAGCTGCCTCGCTTGGCGCTCAGCATTAAGAGGTTAGTGTTAGGACTGGTCGGCCTGGTGTCAGGATAATGTGACTGGGTGGGGCATTATGCTACATGTCTGCGGCATGATGCCCCAGTGCTAGACATCATTATAAACTTACGCACTGCAGACATAGTAGCGATATGACTGAAAATTTTTTAAAGTTACGTTAAAAATCACAATCACATCACATCACCAAATAAAAGTAACAATAAAAGTTTACCCAAATAGATATTTGATAGAGCGGATTGTATCACCTTGGCGGAAAGAAGAATTTAAGCAAGCCGTTAAGGATACGAAAAAACCTTATTAAATTTAGACATACATAGCTTGCTTCGGATTTCAGAATATACAAGGATAAGGAACAAATAAAAAATCTACCATACTAAACACTCAAAAGAAATAATGGAATGAATTCCGTTCACCCCTTAATAACAAAGGCAAAGCAAAACAGGTATGGGCCAAAAATAAGGCAATCAGAGGAAAACTCAATACCAATATTGCCAAGATAACAGGAGCTGCTACCAAACTCAATACCAATATTGCCAAGATAACAGGAGCTGCTACCAATAAAGATAAAGCCAACCAACTGGCAATGCATTTTGCAGGAATGAATAGCAACAAAAACCATTTGGAAAGATAAGAAAACATAGAACCTATTTTAAGGCAAAGTATCCGAAACTTGCTATCGACCAAGTACGTGATACAAACCAACTTAATATAGAATTTAGCGTATACGAATGGCGTATGACAATAGACTCTAAATATAGGCCTGCACCTCTCGAGAAGAAGACACTCTAAGATTTGAGATATACCAAAACCTTTTTCCTAATATAGAACTGGTGATATTAAAATTGATCAATGCAATATGTAAAACAGGTCAAATAACTGGAAACAGACAATAGTAATACCAATACCTAAGCCCGGCAAAGACCCAACGATTCCAATAGACCGATATTATTAACAAACAACTTATGAAAAATTAATATCCCAAAACCAAGGTGGATTCCGTAACAAAAGATCCACAACTGATGAATTAATGAGACTGGAATCACATATTAAACTGACCTTTAATGCAAAACGCAAGTGCAATAGACACGTAATAGCTATATTTTTGGATTTGGAAAAAGCATATGAATTAAGTTGGCATAAGGATTTAATTGCATGAACTGAATCATTACGGAATATTAGGCCGAATGCATCAATGGATAACAAACTTTCTCACTGATTGTTAAAATGCAAGTTAGAATAGGAAATGAACATTCTGAAATATTCCAATTAGAAAATGGAACCTCACAAATTGGTGTATTTAGCCCAACATTTTTTAATATAATAATTAACGACCTCCA